TATTTAGTTCACGCAATACATAGAATTCATTCAACCTCTATGGTGGATTATACGACAACGTGTGTTTTGATTCAGTTTATATCATTTATTTTTCCTCCGTGAAAGAAATTCAATCAAATTGAACTTTCTTATAACTGAGAGGAGTTACTGCATGGATTATATTTGTACTCATTTGAACAATGCATCAAAAGTGAAATCGTAATCGTAACATTGGCAAGACAATTCAAACCTGTCTCATTGAACGAATTAGGGGTTTTCCTGAACAAAATTTCCTGATTTTTTGATAGCTTGGAGATTCCTTTCTTCAGAAAGCAATTGTGTAGCAATTGAAAGTAATGAAAATCTACAAATACTATCTGAAAGATGAATGGAACTAATCAGCGACAGCTGAAAAACGGAAAAACAGATTTTGACAGATTTTAATATTAAGAGTGAAGAAACCTGAAGAGAGCAAGCCTGAAGAATAAAAGTGGTAGCTTCTCCCCCCTACATAGACGCTATCTATGAGATGTACAGAAGACTCAATCCTCGAATATCAAGGATGAACAAATCCATTAAGTTATTTTGTAGTGATAGCTTTTTTTCAAAGTGAAAACATAAGCACTACAGGAAAATCCTTGAGGCGTTCCAAAAGCAGTGCCTGTGTTACGGGGGCAATTCCAATATGAACCTTCATCTACAATGAGATGAAAATGATTCTATAAATATCCGACATTATGCTGCATTATTGTTTCTTGACCAAAACCAGCCCGCTCACTCAGTGGTGTGGGCGTGGGAACTCAAAAGAAAAGAAATGTTATATAAAATAAAGGGGCGCCACCCGTTTAATACGGTTTTGTGTCGCCAAGAAACTTACTTAAACGGGAAAGAAATATAATCGACAATTATAAATAACAACCGTAACCTATTTGAAAAAAACTTAATATTTGCTGGAAGGATTCGAGGAAACGAGAGACGACACTTGACCGTTTCTCTGTCTTTGTTGAATTCGCACCTTTCATTCGAAGGAATAGGGTAGGCGTAGCGCGGGCATAGATTGTATTCGATAGTTCGCACGGAGACCGATGAATAATATACCGGGAGATTTATAATTATATTTTTGAAAAAGAAATTATTGAATGATAGAGAAATTTCATTAACTTCAGTTATCAACGTTAGGAAATAAGTTGCTTGTTATTAGGAATTCAACTATAATAAGACTACTGGGAAAATGAACTGTAACACCTGTGCGGAAGTAGCGAGTCACATTGGATTTGAAGCGCTGGAGATTAAATACATTTGGAAGAATCTTCTCAGGAAGTTTATTCCACAGAAACGCAGTTCTCCAAGCAATTGAATCAAATATGCAAAATCAATTGAACACTTTCAGTGAAAGTATCTATAGAAGATAAACGAATCCCCAACCTTTCTTCGATGTCCCACACTATCAAGTTTGCAATTGATGTTTGCATCTCCAATCAGGTGAATGGTTTTTTTCTGGATGAAATGCAGCAGCTTCAGGATATACTAGTAGGGCAGAGTTTCATACAAAAAAAACAAAACTCCAGAGAAGGTCTGATCTTTGCTATATAAAGCATCTAAAGTTGCTGAAAGGTTTTCAGTTTTCTGGTTTGAGACAGTGTTTCACGCTTTGAGAGGCAGCTTTCGTAATTCCAGCGACTTGATTGTGCTGAGACAATTGGTGTCCATTTCAACCCCCAACAAAGTTACCGAAGCAGAAAGCGGAATTGTTCGTCCTGCCATTATCATATCTGGTTCGGAGACATCTTCTGAAAGGAAATCAATGCCTGGGTTTTCGTGGCATTGAACTGAACCTGGTTACCTCTACTCCAATTTGAAATCATTTCTAGATCCTCATCAAGATATGCAACCTTCTGCTGCCGGTGAAGATGTGCATCCGCAGCCGAAGTCCTGCAATCCAAATGGAATGACGAGACAAGTGTGATGAAGTGAAAACCCATCTGCAGTGAAACATAGTGACGATATTTCGTTTGATGGTAAATGTTGAAGCTTGGCTTTCACCTTGGGGAGACTCGTTTATGTTTGATATTCAGCAATTAGGTATTCTATTTATCCCATAGATGGCGTCTTCGTAGGTGAAAAAGCCATCACCCTTACTTCTTAGGCTTGTTCTTTCCGAAACAGTTCAGTGGTTTTGCTCAGCAAAACTGATGAAACCAGGTGGGAAAAAACAGCACTGCCTGGTATTAGATCACAAATCTATCAAGTTACCCTGCATTGGAAGCTGCAGTAGAAAACAGAGGACGAATCTCAATAGCGGTTGATGTCGTAGCTTGGCCTTACAACTGAGCGTCTTAGAGCCCCGTTCATCCTTGATATTTGAGAACCAACTCCTCTGGTGATCTCATAAATGGAGTATGTACAGGACAGCCTAGCACCACTGATGAGACGTGTAAGGTCGAAACAGTGCTATCTGGAATTGAATCACAAATCCATACTCAACAGTCCTCAATAGACTTAATGGACAACATAATCTATGGGATCGTTCGGTAGCTGGTCCGTTCGACGTGGGAGCTTTGTTCACCCACTCAAATTGACCGCCGTATCGGTCGGTGGTTCAAGCCGCAGGCTAAACAATCGATTTCTACTTGCTATCGTCAAACCCGTGTTAAGAATCACACGTTAAAAGGTAAAACCTCGTTAGTCCTCAGCTCGTACAAATTTCGACTTCTGAGGGTTGTCGTTCGTAGGGGTGCGACAGCTGGTTAACGGAAAAACATATTTTTTTCGAACAGGAGACTAATATCACGAATACTAATGATACTCGCAGTGTGAGTCTTCTTTCAATCTCATATGGTATCGTCTCTTTCTGTTTTTGGTTTTTTCTAGCACCATTCATGAGAATTACGATAGGCCGAAACAACGTTCCTGAAAACAGTAGCAAGAAAGACACGAACATATAAGAAAATAAAAAAATTTCGAAGCAACCCTGTCCAGAGATGTATCACAAGTGCTTTGATATCAGTATCTGGTTTCAAAAAGTGACTGTTGCTGTTGATTTCGTGAAAATTGTCATAGTTTTAATGATTCGTAATGGTTGTGGTTATTGTTTGTTTTCTATAGATTTTTCCGATTGGCAAATTCCCAAAATGTTCTGATGAAAAAAAAAGTGTTCCCAAAATTTTGTGTTGTGATATAATCCAGTTCGGTCGGTAGCCAAGCGGTTCGGCGTGGGTGCTTTGTTCACTCACTCGAATTGACTGCCGTGTTGGTCGGTGGTTCAGGCCCTAGTCTGAACGATTATGTGTTTTTTTAAAAACACTCATTTCAGAATGATCTGTACATTCAATTCCATAAAAGGACAAAATGATCAATTAAACGATTTTCCATCATGTTCAGAAATTCCACTGAACATTTGCATTTGTTGACCATTTGGATGAGTTACAGAACGATTTTCTCCCGCCTAGATATTAATAAAACATCGAATAACTATGACAGTCATTTTGGAAGTGACATCGAGTTTCATTCTATTTCCATGGCCTCCCAATGCAATGCGCGTGTTTCATGATTTTTTGTTTACATTTCATTTGGTAGTAATTTCAAATTGAATAATAGTGTACTTTGTTTCAGCACTCTAAATAGCGTTGTTTTTTTGGTAATTAATAATTAATCAATTGATTTTCTAGGCCCGTCACGTGTACTCAAAAACCATGGTTCTAAATAGAATTTAACGGACTATATTTTTAAATGGTTCTGGAAAGCTTATGAACACCCTAATAAAATAAATCAAATATACATTCATGCCACCTACTGAATGTTAGAAATTCAACGTTATATATTAGCCATATTGCTATCTTTCTTGAATGAATGAGACAATGTTCTCTTTCTAATGTTTCATAACTTCGTATTCTTGTTAAAATAATTGACATTTGGCAACACCGCTGTAGACACGATCAATTTTATTGGTCAACAGACACGCGGCCAATTTAAACTCTTGCTTCTCGAATTTTTTTTTTCTGCAAATATATAGAGATTTTGGGACCGATTACCCTCGATAAGTATAATATACCCCTAACTCGATCAGTCTATAAACAAATCAGTATCATTTTCAATAGCATGAAACAAGTCCATTGTCGCTGGGTATGGTAAAATCATCATTGATTCATTCAAAAATTAGTTACTTGGGGTATTGGTTCAGAAACATATACTAGTCGTGATGAAATGCAAGAACCAACAATTTTGAAAAAAATGTTGTGAATATTTAGTCTGCACCTAAAATATAATAATGATAATAGCTTAGTATATAAAAGCGCTATCTATATAAATTTGCAGACCCAATTAATATGTGAAAAAAGTAGGTAAGAATTATCAGATGAATAAATGAATGAGAAAAATGAACAGTTCAATTTCCATAACCTTGGGCATTTAGATCGGTTATTAGATTAATTGAAAATGCACATTCCAGTTGAACTCAACTTCTTTCGAAAACAAATACATTTTTCGTACACAATTGTCAGTTGTCTTTCTACGCAGATGACTTTGCCTCAATAGCAAATTTAATTTTCTTAATGTGTGAAATAAGTTGCGAAACAAATGGTAATCATATACATGGACATATACATGAAACTGATCAAACTTTGTAGTTTGTTTCTCCCTGCATCGAGTTCTTCGACAATATTTCTATAGATGACATATTGTCGCCATATTGATTTTGAAGAAGATTCTATGCCGCTATAGAAATGGCTACTTACGTTATATCGTTAAAAGATAAATTCATATTCGATTAAATGGCAATAAAGGGTTCTATTCAAAATTCTTCACTTGAGTTGATTTTTGGATAACCTTGTCTAGATTTTCGGATAACCCTGTATAGCTTTTCGAGTGCTTTTTCATTGAAAGTATCGGCTTCGACAAACTATACATTCACTTCATACTCAACAGTTTTCACCTCGTTAACAATTGAATGGCACTTTGTCAAATGATTTCGTTGTCACCCGGTATACGTCGTCCTGGTTTTTTAAGGAAATTTATAATTCAGATTTGAATAAATTATGTCAAAGCAACATGTTTATTTCCATGTATTGACAGACATTTCACAAATGAATTCACAAAACTACGTAAGATCCAGTATAGGGGGAATAGGCCGTGTATCCAGCAGAATACACAGAGGGAGCCACATAACCAGCATATGCCAAAGGAGCAGAATAGGCAGATGTGTAGGCAACTGGAGCGGCTACAACAGGGGCAGTGTAGGCAGCAGCAAGCAGACTAGGGTCAGGAGATGCTTTAGGATCAGCTTTGGCTTCAGGTGCAGGAGAAGCCACAGTGATGGCAAGAAGAGCGGCGAAAGTAAGCTAGAAAAAATGTCAAATGAATAAAAAAAGTAATGTGGAATACACATTTCAAAATATGTTATTTCCTAATATCAAATGACTTCACTGATATGTTGATTGATATTACAGAAATCCATGAAATATATTCCAAAATTATCAGAATATTATGAAGATGCGCACTTACCAACTTGAACATTTTTTATTTTCTATTAAGGAAAGAGTTATGCAACTTATAATTTTGTCAAATGGGTGTTCCTATATATATCATTGAAATAGTGACGTTTAAATTCTCAGTGGGGCTGATTTCAATGATTCAATGTCGAGGTTGAATTGTCTAACATACGCACGCATTACTTGATTGAGATTCAAGAATGCACCTGCTGGAATAATTACATGAAACATATCTGATTATTATTCTGCGTCACATTCATTTTATTGTTTTGATGAAAATGGTTAGACTAGACTCAAGTTTCCAGAAGGAATTTTCTCAGGAATCGCACTGGAAATATGAAGTTCACGATATTCATGAAATTCATCCCAACCTTTATGGTGAACTGTACGATGAGGTGAGCTGTGATTCAAATCTTTTTTCCTTCCTGATACGGTTTTTGTGAATGGAATTGAATCACTTCCAATTCTCTCCACAATGAGAGATCATATCAAACACAATAAAAAAGTCACTACATGAATAACATTCGTACTTGTTAGGATAATGCCCCAAAAATGATCATGGGATCACTTTCTTTAGAGAGCAATTAAGCAACTAGTATTTTAATGAGATGAATGAAAATACTTTCGTCTGATTACCACTAGTTGACTTTATTTATATGACCGGTTTCGAGTTTGACCTCATTATCTGGAAATCTGAAGGAGGAAAAAAATAATTTCTCGACTCGACTATTAGTAAACTATCAAAGAAACAACTTAATTTTAAAGCCTGCTATGAAAAATATTGCCTGGCTTATTGATCAATCATATGAATATGCCGTATGAAATGAAATCTTGAGAATTTTGTCAAAATCTGTCACCGGGTTGAGACAAATGTTTGCAAAATGCATATATAGGGATATTTTTTCAATAGTTGATTGACTATTAATTATACCAAAATATCAAACGATATGGATAAAACTTTTTATTTTTGTTTGATGATGTTATGATGATGAAACTTGTACTTGATTATTTCATGCGTTTTTCATGTCAATGGCTACTATACTTTTCCTTTGATGTCTACAGTTTGCTATACAGGTTCCTTCAAGAAATTATGAATTTGGGAATTTCTCATCATATAAGTAACGCACTGTATGAGATATTGGGCTGAAACTTGGTATATAGGGGTTTGAAATATGACCGAATCGAATGGGCTATCCACTTTTTTGATAAAAAAATGCCTAATGGCAATTCTCGAAATTTCGGCCCATTGAGCAGGGCATAGTAGGCCCTGAAAATAACATCTTTGAAAAGAGCTCGTCGAGTAATATAATTTGAAATTTTCCAAAATCGGTTCATGGGTTCCAAAATAACAGGGTGTTTTGGTTTGAAATCGCACAAACTGTATACTTTAGAACAATAATGAGAACGTAATCATTTGTCGAATCCACTTCAAATAATCCAGTTGTCTCCGCATATTTGATTCTATTGTTCTCGAGAAGCAATGTGGAATGAACAGAAGCACTGTCGTATTGAAACCACATTCTGATTTGGATATTCAGAGATAAATATCTCTTTTCATTCGTGCAATAGTTTTCGCAAGGACGATTTTTTATTATGCCCCAAAAATTCACAGAAAATTACTGTTTGTTGCCAATTTGAATGAGTTGTTTATATGCCCATATCTATGAATTCAGTTTCATCAGTGAATAACGTTTTTTTGGTGAATTTTGAAATTTTTCTCGGATTATTTAAAAACCATCGGGAGAATTCAACTTGATTCGAATTAATTTCTGATCTCAGTGACTTGAAATATTTCTTTTAATTGATATAGATAAAAGAAACAGATACTGAAAATCTATTAGTTTCAGACTAACTTGTTATGCTTCATTTATGAGAGAGAGAGATTTATGAGGGACAACCTGTATATACATTTCGATAGTTCAATTGAAATGCAAACGGTGCAAAGCTTCAGTGAACGAACATCAAGCAGAGGAAAGAGTCGGTGCTATTTGATAAAATAAATTTCACACTACGTGTACCTATTTAACTTAAAAGGCCTAAAAAAATCTGAGGTAAATGATTCAAGATATTACAATTTCTAGTTCTTTGCGGTAGATTTGTAGAAACGATGTTCTCGTGTCAGGCCTAAAAGANCTGGGATCAGCTTTTGGATCAGCTTTCGGGTCAGCCTTTGCTTCAGGTGCCGGAGAAGCCACAGCAACGGCGAGGATAGCGGCAAAAATACACTAAAAAATATTATTTTCTGAATTGTGATCCATAATAACCAGTTGTATTTCATAAAACAGTTTTTGATTCATTGGCTACCAAGAAACAAATTTTTCTTGAAAATTGATACTCACCAACTTGAACATTTTTATCCTTGATGAAAGGTACTCGACTTATGATTCTCAAATAACTGGTGTAGTATTTATATTAGTGACTTTTTCTTTGAAAGTGGGGAGATCAGTTGTCTGCTTCATCGTGATATTGAGAAATACGCACACGCATTACTTGATAAGTAATCAAGTATGCACTCGATGGAATGTAAGTCATGACATGAATCTAATTTATATTCATCATCGATTGAAATTCATTTACTTCAGTTTTTTTTGTAAAATGATATTAGAACAATTCCCACTGTTACATGTAATTGTTCTTGAATAATTCTCATGACCTTGATCCAATAAAGGCCTGAGGCCAAAATATCTGAATATGCCAGCGGCATACAAATGACAATGATTTCGTTGATCATGTAAACGTATGGACCTCAAGTAACGGTTTGTTGCAATAAGTTCCACTACTGACAAAAACAAGTGACCTTTGTACACTTTTACGATATAAAAACTGATTGATTTGAAACGGAAAGCATCAGTTGAAAAAACTGTTCTACAGACAACCTCAAAAATGTACAAGTTGGTGAGTTCTGAATTTCGAAATTTTATCTTTTGGTATATTGTTTTCACATAATTTGAAACTACTCGTAGTTAGTTCATCTCGTCTTCAATTCATCGACTTTTTTATTGTAGTTATTCACATTCACAATCTTGGGGTTTAGGTAGTAGATCTGCAAGCTCATGCAGATGACCTTGTCATCTTGGCAAGGTCCACTTCAGAAAGGGTAGCTTGTAATATCCTCCAAAGCACGTTGGACGATGTATGAGGGTGCAGATGTCTGTCAACCCCAGCAAAACTGTGATAATCCCATTCACTTGGAGGAAAAAATTAGACGATTTAATGCCACTTTACCTCAATGGTGAGGTCATTTCATTTGAAATGGAGGTGAAACATGTTAGCATTGGCCTTCATAAAAAACTCACTTGGAACCGTCACTTGGAAAAAGTTTTACACAAAGCCAGACTGTCCCTATGGACATGTCGAAGGGTTTGTGTTGAAATTTGGGGTTAAGGCCCCAAACAGATTCATTGGATACATGTGATGATTTTCAGACCAATGATCACTTGTGGAGCAATTGCCTGGTGGCCGAACGCTTCAATGAAAACGGCTCAGGCGAAGCTTTTTGGCTTATTCCACATTTTTCTGGAGAGAGAGGCTAGATTGACTGCATATAGACTTGTGTACATTGAAAATTGCACATACCAATTTAATGCAGAGTACAACCAGGGCCGTAGCGGAAAGAAAATCCAGGGGGGGAGGGAATCCAACCCCGCCAGCAAAATTTCCCAACTTTCGAAAAAATGAAAGCCGAGGGATTGGTTACTACTATAATATATTAATTTTCTCACTTAGCTATCCAAAGATCGGCTGAATGCTTATGCCCGTTAGGGTATGCACAAACAAAAATAAATTTTGGTAATTATAAAAATAGTAATGGGAATTATTCTACTTTGGACCAAGGTCCTTGGTCTTCCACCATATCCACAATGTATGAATGAAAGGAAACAACACTTAAATAATATTGTGCTTATTGTTTTCTACTATCATTTTTTTTTTCCTCACGGCCCGAAATTTCCCGACTTTTCCAAGCCGAAAAAACAGCAAAAAGTTGAGAATTTTGTAAAATAGTCACTTCAAAATTTGTGGACTGTTCAGGACTGTTCTTTTACTTGGGAGAAATTTAGAAATTTAACTTTTTTGAAGTTTTCAAACAACTCAGAATTCCAACCTTCTCGTGGTTCTTTCCCTTTTCTTATTACCTCTCCCTTTCTTCATTCATTTTTTTACTATTTTTCCCAACTTTTTCCCAGCTTTTCCCCAAGTCGAAAAAGCAGGGGGGGTGGCACACCCCATCCCCCTTATGGCGACGGCCCTGAGTATAACAGACTGCTGGTTTTCACTGGAAGTCACAGAATTTTGGCAATGATCTCCGGATTTACGCCTCCAACTATCAACTACGAACCGCCTTATGAAGTACTGTTCCCGAGGAGAGAAAACTGGATCCTCCGGGAGAAGGAAATTATAAAAGCGGATAGCTGTTGGTTCACAGATGGATCAAAAACACCTTCAGGCTATGGTGCGGATGTTTTGAGTCGCATATCACTGCCTAGGAACCTATGCGACTGTATTTCAAGCGAAAATTTACGCTACTGACTTGTGTGCGGGAGATTGAAAGAATGCAACCTTATTCACGAGTCAATAAAAATATCGTCAGAGAGTAAGGCGGCGTTGGAAGCTTTTGGCTCCTACCAAACAACGCCTAAATTGGTAGCAATGTGCCAGAAATCAGTCTAATCTATAGGAAGACTTGACAGATTGTCTCTGGTCTGGATTCCTATCCATACTGGCCTGGATGGCAATGAGGCTGCTGAGTCCCTTGCAAAGACAGGTGCTGCAATCAGCTTCATTGGACCAGACCTGCCATTGGCAACGCTTTAGGCTTTGCCAACATTGAACACTTGAATGGCAAGCAGATTTATGAACTTTTGGCAGAATCTTCCAGGATTGATATCAAACAGTTGTTGGACTGCAGTAGGGATAAACTACCTTGTCTAACAGACCTTCTCATGTGTTTCTGTCATTTGAATCATCATATGTAGACTCGGACTGTCGGAAGACAGTGTATGCCTCTGTCTGGAAAAAATGGAACAGCAGAGTACATTATTTGTGCCCGCCCTGCTGGTAACCGAATCAAGTTTCCAGAATTTGGCGAAGCTGTACTCTCACTATCTGATCTGAGAGATCACTCACCATATAAACTAATCGGCTTCGTCAAGAAGATGGGTTTATTTGGCCGAGTGTGAATAGATGTGAGCCACAATAAACCCTTGCGAGTTGCGGTGGACGGTCGAATAGACCCACTCACTTTTGACCCAACCTAGGTTATGAGTAACAGCTCGTTGCATTTATGTATATGATGAATAACCATAGAATCAGATGTACATGTATGTATATTTTATATACATTGAACTCTTTCCAAACTATTGTGCACATCAAAAAAATACAGAATTCCATTTTTCATTGAATTTACCATCATATTCATTGATTTTTCTTGTGCGTTGAAGAGAAACTGAATTTAAAAAGATCATATAATCCTCATGGAATCGTGAAAATATTTAGTAAAGAATAATTTTAAATTTTTCAATATGTATATCCTTTTGGTGTTTCTTTTGAATCACTTATCGTCTGACTCATCCACTACATTTAACTATATCCTCAAGTTGAGTGATAATACGTGGAAATAAGTTCGAGTGACTGGACTGGTGAATCAATAATACAATATGATTTTTTTCTAGTGTGTTTTCGTTGCCGTATTGGCCATTACTGCAGCAGTTCCTACACCTGAAGCCAAAGCCGATCCAAAAGCATCTCCTAATCCTAGTCTGATTGCGGCTGCTTACAGGACCCCTGTTGTTGCTGCTCCTGTTGCTTACACTTCGGCCTATTCAGCTCCACTGGCTTATGCTAGTTATGTGGCTCCCTCTGTATATTCCGCTGGTTATACAGCTTACTCACCATATGCGTCATCTTACGTTGTAGTGTAAAATGCTCTTCGTACTTCAAAGCTGATCGTGAATTTTTATTTATTTCAATAAAAATGTTGTTGAATTGTATTGGTTTCTTCCTATTTTGACGAAGAAATATAGTTTTGAAATGTATTCCTGATGAAATAGCAGTGCTTTCAGACAGTCCACTCATAATAAGTTTCTATCGTTGTTCATGAAATATAAACGAGTGGGGTGAGGTAGACCGAGGATAAAAGTTCCAAGAGTAAAAAGTGATAATAGCCGCTAGTTTCTTTGAAGTCAATGTAAAATGAAGCAGTGACCCCAAGATATCACGTTTGGTCAAATTGAACGTCCCTGCATGAAGTGATTTTACATTCATTTGCAATTCCAATACTAAACATAGACAACCCTGATTTCAACCGAAAACATTCAAAAAATACTGGCAACCTCACGTTTTTGAAAGGAAATAGTTGATCTCGGTTCCAGCATCACAGAAAGAGAGGATATATTTTGAAAATTATTTCAAAAAATCTACTTATGGTGTATACATTAACGAACATTTGACATGAGATAATGGACGAGATGATTAGTAGCGAAAACAAGGTTGACTTCCATACGTTTTATTTAGCAGATGCTTCTTGTATACATGTTGTGTGTGAATTACCCATGATAGAGAGTGATACGATATGAAGAAAGGGATAAAATACCTCTGGAACTAATATTCAAATTGTGCAAGTCGCAATGAAATTTGATTATGTTGAATGGGTATGGTAAACACCTATGAATAAAATCTTATGAGAAAAAAGTGTTGCGGAGTGCAGAGTTGAGATCTCGTAGTATTAGAATAATGGCGTCCATTTCGATGTTTCAACAACAGAAAGTGAGTAAACATGGCAGAGGAAAAGTACGATTAAATGGTGACATGAAGAAGGTGTTATCCACGAAGGTAGGTTGAGAATCGAAGAAACTCATCGACCGATCGAAAAAATTCCGAAACAACTTCATTAAATCATTACTGAGGTCTCTCCGTGTTGACTGAGATAGAATATATACGTATACAGGGTGTAACATGAGTGCGTTAAAATATTTGAGTTACGTATTCCTGAGACAATTTTAAGAGAAAACGTGTGCCAGGATCTGTTGGTCAACCACTTCACCAGACTGTATTGAAGCAAGCAAGCTTTATATGAGCTCTCAATGAAATACTTATAATATTCAAAAATGTCTTCTGTTTCACTTTTATTAGACAACCATGATTCTCATTCAATCTCAGTTTTGCACTTAGCTAAAAGTAATGATATCATCAAGTTGTCATATTCATGGTTGAGAAATAATGCTGGAAAAACAATGTCAATACATAATGTGCCATATTTTGTTTGGTAGTCATATTCATCAGAACTTTTCGCAGCCAACTTATTTCAGATGTTGGAAAAAACTGAAATATTATTTTTTTTAAGAAAATATTTTCACTGACATATATTCCGTACTAAGTACTGTCTCGGATAAGCCTTGCCCTTTTGAATCCATATCTCAAAGTGATCGTTAACTACTTCATCTCCTGATGATAATATGTATAAATATATGGCGAAAAATTTTTCGGCGCGTACATCCGTTCCTTTTTCGCATTATAAGTACCTACTTTTCGGCAAGATCACACTTGCCGTATCTATATGCTCAATTTGGTAGCTGAATTTGTCGTCTTTATGATGGTAAAAACGAACATATATACATCTGAGAATACATTTCGATAGTTCAATTGAAATGGCGTGCGGGTGGACAGAGGACNTGCTATTTAGGAAAATTGAGAAAGGGCTTTTTCAATTTTTGATCGACCTTTTTTGGGTATTTTTACCTTCCACAATCTGAAAAATATGAAAATTATAATGGAGAAGTTCATACAAGTATCGGGGCAAACTTTTCAGTTTACCCCGATAAGTTACTGCGTAAAATCAAAGTATTTTTCACTATTTATCAGTAACTTGTCGTATTTAATAAGTTTGTCTAGCAAAAAAATTGCTAAGAAATAATACAATACTCATCTTAACATTTTGGAGGCCCCCGTCTTCAGAAATGGACAAAAAATTCAAAAATATTTGCAGTTATTTCTTTGCTGATTATTCATTTCTCAACCTCTTCGACAGATGTCAGAGAAGTTTTGAATTTTTCGATGTTTTTACCACTTTTCTTTGTAACTATCATTACTGCAATTTCTTGCTATATGGACATTTTCAAACTAATATGATAAAACCCCTTTTTTCAATTTGTTTTCTTTGTCTAGCTTTACTTGCGTCTTTCAATAAATTGACTGATGTAGCCGTTACTACGTGGAGATCATAATGACAAATGTTACAAATGGAAGGGCTAAAAAACATACAAGGTTTCATTCCTCATTTTTCATGATGATCTTACTTCACGTAGTAACGGCTATTTAGGAAACGGGATGCTTTGGCTCTACAGCGTCCATTAAGGATGATATGATGAAAAACAGGCGCAAGAAATTTCAATACTGTCATATTTCTTATGATTTGATATGAATCATTTTGCAATGCGACGTTTCCTTATTGCGATTTTATCATCAGCTTCATTTTTTCAAATACGGATCTCTAATTTCTAACGTATATTTCAAAAACAAATAATGATATTCTCGATCTGGAAAGAACAACCGCGTCTTGAGTTATTGTTAGTTACACGTTTCGGTTTCGACTTTGAAGTAGAGATGAAAGGGATATCCGGTAACTATCCGGTATCCGGCCTATCCGTCCTTGTTTTAACTATCCGGCCGGGTACCGGATAGTAAAGTTTTAAAAAATCTCATAATTTTACAAATTTCAAAGTTTGAAGCAATTCTCAAAAATGTTCCACTACCTACTCCTCAGGACACGCTGAAAGGTTTTCTGACTTGACGCCTTGAAGTCTGACTGACTTGACGGTCTCCACAAGATAACTCAACCTTTCTGTATAGTAGGGAGGGTGAGTGTAGACCCACAGCACTTAGGCCACATGTGACCCATTGTACATCCTACCGAGTTGTCCTCATAGGTCATCGGCCATCCTGTCCTTTTCAGGAAGGTGGACAGGTCACTAGGAGACATCTCCTTCATATTGGCAGGTGTAGGCCAAGACTCGCCGAACACACACTCTCTTTGGCAACCTTGAGGTGCCTCACAGCGGCCTTCGTGAAGATTTTGGAACGAGCAGCGACCTTACTGTCGTTGCGCAGCTTCGTCAACCTTCTTGGGATTCCCTCCGTAGAGGTAGTCAAGTAAGGGCGCTTTCCTGCAGGGGCAGACGGTTCCTTGCCTTTATTCAAGACATAGCTTTTGGCGGCCGCCGCAGGAAGGGCCATTGCTGTTGGAGGTGGAGTGGGGGAGGAGAAGGATCACTTATAGTTGCTGCCCCACTCCAGCCTCTATCGCTCTCTTTCTCCTTTTGGCCTCGGAGCCGCAAATGCGCTTACGCCTTGTCCTTTGTATTACATCACGAGGTGATCTGCCATGTCCAGCCTAATTCCAAGCGGTAGATTGAGGTGAGCATTTTTGTCCAGCCTCGGGATTGGTTTTTATTTTTCCTGTATCTGTTTTTGTGTTTGTTTCATGTGTGTTCCCACGAGTAGTACTGCTCTTGATGTGTACGGATTAAGTAACAAGATGTTGAAAAACATGAAAGAGGGATTAGTAGAACCTCTCACCAAAATAATGAACAAATGCTTTGAGACACGTGTATATCCCGAGAAGCTTAAATTCAGTGAAGTGACCCCTGATTCAAAAAAGGAGACAAAAATGAGATAGAAAACTACCGTCCCATCTCAATAATCCCAACTTTATCAAAACCCATTGGAGCTGCAATTAATAGTAGGATAATACAAATTGTGGATTCCAACGACTTGCTCTCAAAGTCCCAGTTTGGATTCAGACAAAATCTATCTGGTGCGAGCCGTGGTGGATGCCTTCGGAAGGGGGAAGCCCCACACCCGTATTCTGTGACCTCTTGAAAGCATTCGACTGTGTGTCACACACGACTCTACTCGATAAACTATCGTTCTATAGAATTAGGGGGAAAATAGCTGATTTGATCGATTCTAACCTATCCGAACGAAATCAGGTTGTGGTACAAAATAGTGATAGATCTCCAGCAGTGTGTGTAACAGCAGGAGTACCTCAAGGGTCAATCTTGGAACCCCTACTATGTTAATGATATTCCACATCATATGAACCCCTTCAATACGTTTCAGTATGCCGATGATACTACTATATATGAAAGTTATTTATGGGGTTATTCCAATCCAAGCTGTCATACGGATTACTTTTTTGGGGACTTTCAACTGATTGGAAAAGGATATTCATTTAACAAAAAAGGCTATTAGAATCCTGGGAAGGGCAAAATGAACTGATGGCTGTAGACCTCTATTTAAAAAATGGAATATGTTAACCATTACGGCTCTCTACATCTTTCAGTGTCTTGTGTATATCAAGACACAAAATAACACCCCTCAAGTTAATCACAACCATGAATTCCTGACCAGAAATGGTTACAATCTTCTTATGCCACATCGACTGGCAATTACTCATAAAAGCTTTTTTACTATGGCGATAAGGCTCTTCAACCATCTACTACCATATATGAGAAAATTACATATGATTAAATTCAAAAAGAGTATAAAAGGGCTGCTGGTTGATCTCTGCCCTTATGACGTAAGTGAATTTTTCAACTGCAAATTTTGATGCTTTGCCTCTTTAATGTGTATGTATTAATGTGTATGTTTTGTATAATATTTATCTACCTTGACGATGATAAATCTGTTATATTGATAATAAGCAAATGAATCGATTGATTGATTGATTAGAGAATCGCTCTGGCAGAGCCCCGCATTACCAGAGGAAGGCTGATTACAATGAACTTTTACCCGGTTCCCCAAGGGGATCGTTCGTAATCGCATATCACCCCGCGACTTTTCAGCTGTCAGCCCAATTCCTTACACCTCAGCTTGTGTAGGCTGGTCCTCGGTGGCCTGTTTTGCAAAGGCTTCTGTGGGTTTGCGTTCCCCCCACCCTACTTATTTCTGCCACTGACCAGGAGTCCGGCGACCCCATCCGTAAGGCCACATTGGCTTCCCGGACAGGGCTACCAGTCCCCTGGCCGTTCTATAATCCGCCACGTAGGGACGCGCCCAATAGGTAGCCCAACCCACGGGTAACTCAACTTTTATTGCAATAGAAAATTAACTGACTTGTTGAGACTCTTTTATAATTCATTTCACCTTGAACCTGATTGTTCAAATTGAGATTTCAGAAATTGAATGAGTTTACCAAAAATCCCCCCATATTGAAAATCTAACCCCACCAACCGAATAAGAAGTTTTCTCAGTTGTCTGTTGTTTTGCAATAATATAAATTGAAACACAAACATTTTTCACAAATTAATTCTTTTTAATTTCTTTTCCTAAACAGTATTTTCTTAAAACATTTTCAAATAACTTGCGGTTTTCAATAGTGAACAATTGGTGCAGCATATCCGGCTGGGTATCCATATGATCCGTAGGTGGAGTAAGCCAGAGGAGCTCTGTAGGCCAAAGGACTTGCAGCATATCCAGAAGCGTAAGACAAGGGAGCTGAGTAGGCAAGGGGGGCAGAGTAAGCAAGAGGAGAAGCCACGACTGATGAAGCGACGAGGCTAGGGTTAGGAGCTGCTACAGCCAGAGCCAAGATGGCGGCGAAAACAACAGCAAACTGCAAAATAATTAAACAAGATTTTTGTGTCAGGTGGCATCTTTGAAAAACTTGTGGACAAAATTATCATATATCAATACCCTATTTTGAATTGTGCCGTGAAATATAATATTTTGTTGAATGAGATTACAAAATTATGAATACGGATGATTTCATGTTCGATTCTGAATTCAAAATTTTTATATTTTTTGAATAAAAATAAAAAATCCCATTGAATTTTCGGCTAATAAATGAATGATAATGTGATAAATCATATCATGCGCTCTCAATCTATTCTGTTTTATTTTATATTATGTGATCATTCTTTTAAATTTCAATCAATAATGATATGTAATTTGTGATGTACTGATTGGAACTTTTGGTGTAATGATGAATATTACTGGATTTCTATCCCAACACCAAACCATCATTTTTGAAACTTCGACAAGTGTTTCAGTTTCTTGAAAATGATCATTTGATGATTGATGATTGATGATACGTGTATCATCAATCTATGGGTTGAATATTACTGGATTGAGATAGAACCCCAGTAATATTCATGATATGAAATAGCCACCCAAAATTGAAAACACATTATACAATAGTCAAAAACGAAACTTTGAAATCAACAATTAGTTTATACTTACGAATCTGAACATTTTGAGTTGGGAGTATTTGATTGTCTGGATCAAATGATACTGTATTGAAAATCTGCTTCGAATTTATACTAAAACCCAGAGGTGGGGCTCCAATATCGGAATGTACCTACACGGATTCGTGTATGTGGGAATGCAAGTTCTGTCCAAAAGAACGAATTAAAAAAACTAGATTTCGTTGTGATCGAAAACGTTGACCGTGACTGCTACATTCTGAACAAACAAGATTTATTGACGGAAACCGTAAGAAGTTTTATGTACTTGGAAATATTATTTTATTGACCGTGTATAGAANGAAATATTTTCAGAATAAAGAAGTTTTTTTGAAAAAAAAAAAAATTAACATCATCAAACGAAAAAATATAGAAAACTCTTGAAAAAGAAATGAAACAATATCACCAATTGCAGCTCTTCATACAAAGCATACAAAAAAGTTCATTTCAGATACAAACTGGGAGAAAAAACACTTTCGAGACAATTACTTTCACATGAACACTGAAATACACAGAACATTCTGTGCATGTTCCACATTCACAAATATTTTTTATTGCAGTTTTTTTCTTTGGAAGTTTGCAACATATTTTATTCGATGATAGAGAAGTAGAAAGTCAACAACTCGTTTTCTTCAAAAAGTACTTTCTATCAATACTAACTGAAACATATCAGGTTGATTTTATTGAAATGAGATACTGAAAGGACTGAATTTCAGAGTTCGGGAATTTGAAGAATTAGGAACTAGAATGAATACATATACTAAAAAAGAAAGGACAATTTAGTAGGCTGAGTACTACACGGGCTCTGACGTTATGCTTCCTACGAACTGCCTCATGAAGTATTGTTTCCGAGTAGAGAAGACTGGAGCCTCCAGGAGGAGGAAATATTGACAGCAGATAGTTGTTGGTTCACAGATGGATTAAAAACATCTTCAGGTTCTGGTGCAGGTGTTTTCAGTCGCAGACACAAGACAAAGATATCAACCTGCCTAGGAACCTATGCGACTGTATTTCAAACGAAAATTTACGCTATTGAATTGTTGGCGGGGAGAACAAAAGAATCCAACCCCATATACAAGTTAATGAAAATATTCTCAGACAGTCAAGCCGCGTTGAAAGGTCTTGTCTCCTATCGAGTAACGTTTAAATTGGTATCAAGTTGCCAAAAACCACTCTCCTCGATAGGAAGACTCAACAGATTGTTTTTGGTCTGGATTCCTGGCCATACTGGCCTAGAGGGCTGCTGACTCCCTTTCAAAGGAGGTTGCTGCAAGTAGCTTCATCGGACTCCGCTTCATCAGAAACAACAATTAAACGTTGGTTTTCTGACTTCAAATGTAGTCATAGAGACACCGATGATGCAGAACGCAGTGGACGTCTAAATGAGGCAGTAACACCAGAAAACGAAATAAAATCCATAATATCGTTTTGAATGATCAAAAAGTGAAGTTGCGTGAGTGAGCTAACATTGCAAAGATATAAAAAGAATCTGTTGGCTTTATATTGCATGAGCATTTGACTATGAGAAAGCTCTATTCACAGTGGGTGCCGCGCGTGCTCACTGTTGACCAACAACAAAAAAGCCTTGGTGATTCTGAGCACTGTTTGATCATGTTCAAATATAACAAATCGGAATGTTTGTGTCGATATGTGACAATTGATGAAACATGGATTCATCACTTCGCCCCGGAATCAAATCGATCGTCATCTGAGTAGAAAGGAACTGGTGAAACTCGTACAATCGGCTGAAAAAGTTATGGCCCTAGTATTTTGGGATATGTGTGATGTAATATTCATTGACTATCTTGAGAAGGGATACACCATCAACAGTGAATATGTAATTGTGTTATTGGAGCGTTTGAAGGTGGAAATTGCAAAGAAATTGCAAAAGAAAAAAAATGTGTTTCCTCAAGACAACGCACCGTGTGACAAGTCAATGAACACAATGGCAAAACTACAAGAAGTGAACTCCGAATTGCTCCTACATCCACCGTTTTTGCCAGATTTGGCTCCCAGCGACTACTGGCTGTAAGCATACCTCGAAAAAATGCTCACCGGTTAGAAAGTCCGCTCGAATGAAGAGGTATATGCTGAAAGTGAACCCCATTTTGAGGCAAAAAATACATCGTCCTCAAAAGTAGTATTTTTATGTTAGGGCGGCGCTGAAATGATTGTGTAGCTCTTGACGGAGATTACGTTGATGAATAAAGTTAGTTCTGTAGTTTTTTGTAGATCTGAGACTTTTCAGCCCAGGTGCTAACTGCGAATAAATACTTAGAAACAGTTGACACATAGAACACATCTACTCCTCCAACTAGATTCATCTCTCTCAGGTACTTTGCTATATAATATTGTACAATGTACGAAATTTGTATAGAACAATGAACGCAATAAGTATGAATGTTCATCAGTTCAATTTGCAAAAAGAAAAATCATATATTATGAAACAACTGGTATATATGAATATGACTTTTTCAGCAAGTCACTGAAATACTCTGCCATTTCTATCAGAGTTTTTGAATATATGTAGGTGAATGACCAGATGGTATGTCTCTCATTTCATGGAAATACGGTAAACCTGTTGTATGACAATGCTGCTGGAACTGCAGCATTGTCTGGCGAAAAACTGAAACGAAAGAAATATCAATATCTTAGTGTTCATGATCCGGAGTCTCTGTTATTCTTCCATGAACTCGAAAGTTGAATAGGCCAAGCAACAAAAGATTACCGTTCTACCTCTTTTCTGATAGTAATAATTAGTATTTCTATTCCAGCTGGTAATGCTGCTTTGGTCCTTGGAATTATTCCTCTTTCACATAATTTTGATAAGATCATGCATTTCCCTCATTTCAGTATGGAACTAAAGCCTCTTCGAAATAAGCCGAAATATGTTTATATTAATCAGTCTTCTATCAAGGTTAATTCGTAAGTGATCAATCTACCTTCTTTTTTTTCAGTGCGGTCAATGGACTTAGGTCATTCTTGTCCCTCAAATATGAGCTGCAGTCCTCGCGGTCCAGGTTCCTTTTCAGTGAGGAAGCTTCATGAAGCAAGAGTCGAATCGATCCCTCTACGGAACCCTTCATTAGTTGAAAGGATCGATTACAGCTTGTTTACTTTGTAGTGAATGTTCAAGAGGTAGCAGAAATGTTTGTTATTTTCTGGAACTCCAACTAGCGTTTCCTAATATGAATGATAACCAGTTTGTGCCAAGCTCATCGTTTATTCATCTGAAAATGGAACTTTAACGGGTGATGATCAACCGTATTGCCAAACATGCGCCCAACTAACTTACTATTATAAAAAAACAAGTATATCTGAGGTACCAGTCAATCTAATAATAACACTGATGATCTTCACACATGACTCAACCTCTGACGAAAGCACCAAACTCTTACGAAAGCTAGAGATAGATGAATACTTCAATCAAGCAGACCACTATTATAATCTTCTTGCAGTAATTGTTCACTGTGGTTCTGGCGTTGAATCAGGTCGTCATTACGCATTGGTTCCAGACTGGTTTCAGTTTGACCATGATCGTGTCACTAAGTGTTCTGGCGATGTCTTGAATTTATTGGAGCTTCTGGAGACACCCTACATTTTGTTTCATGAAAGAAAGGACATTGGCAGATCAAGATTTTCAAATGATGGTGTGATGCAGTTTTTCCGGGTTTTTTTGCAGCTGAATACACAATTGCGCCACTGGAATCAATGAAGTCGCCCTGAAGCGCCAATTAATTTTTGTTGTTTCATAATTTCATGATTTGTATTACTTTCATTCTTTTGTTTCGGAAAGTAAATGTGAAAGTTTGTAGTATGTGGCATTTGATATTGTCTAAAACAGAAAATAAATAATGACTTTGTCTAGTTGAGAAATGGTGTCACAAAACCATATATGGAATCATCTTGAAGCGGCAGTAAGAAAAGTGTTCAATTCTGAAACATTGATGTCTATGTAAGTGAAATTTCACCCCATTCATTTACTATATTGTATCGTAGGAGTCCTGTAAGTCATATCTGATTCTATTCCATAATGATTGTTTGGAGTACAAACTAAATAGGAAAAAGTGTTCTTTCGTATATCTCAATGTTCATATATAAATACGAGTAGTTGTTTCGGAAGTAATCTTTCTTTCATGTAATTTAATGTTTATATGAAAATGGTTGTTTCGAATATCTGAAAATAACTTCTATGCATGATCTACACATCTTTGTAGAAATTGCCTCTCTACACAGGGAAGGGAAGGGAAGCCATACAGCTTTTTTTTTTGAAAAGGATCTGTTCTGAAACATTCTCCCCTTTCAATTCAAACCTGAAAGTGTTTTCGATTCATTTATCAACCAAAAGCTAATTTTCCTTTATATTTTCTTTTCCAGGAGGATCAATTTCTCTAGACTCGGAATCAGAACTTTATCAGGAAGGTCATTCCCAAAATATTGTCACCTCCAGGATTCAGCAACTAGTCTGATACACTAAGCTTGAGCCTGTTTTTTGTTATTGTGGAATACACAATGATGAATGCCAAAAGTCTGACCTCTCTCCAGAACGACGTGAAAAATAGTTCTCGAAACGGCCGCTCTTAGTATGTTGCTAATAGTCATTACTCAAGCCTTCAGTATGATACTGAAAGCGATTCTGTATATCGCCAAAAGTCTAAACTTTTTCCAGAACAATGTGGAGTCTTCGGTAAAAACACGCCCAAAGAAGCGTTTGCGTTTTTGTAATACTGTTTAGTGAAAATCTCACAATAAAGAGTTTTTTGAATACGCTAGTTATGAATTTTCATCAAGTATCGGCCAACTCCATCATATATGAAATATTTTTGTTAAAAAGTGGTTTATTTCAGATACACTTTCATTGTCTCCTCAAGTCAATATAAAATAAAAACGAAACAATTCTAGATCGTATTCGCATTCAAATAACCAATATCAACCACTAAATCAGATAATTTGAATTCGAAGTGTTATTTATGTGAATGAAATCATTCAGTTCATTCGTGTCCATGGTTTATGCAAAAGACCATTACTTAATCGATATCACTTGAACAGAAAATTCAATTTGAGTCATGCGTGATCTGAAAATATCCAAATCAAATTCGAACGTAACGAAGTGATAATTTTATAACTTCGGTGAACCCCAAATTGTTCCACTAACTACAGGTATCTGTGGGGTTCATCTTTCTACTCTGATAGAAATTCTATTATATAGTCATGGTAGTTATCAAATAATTCGATGTATTCTAGATTCTAGTGTATATCTCCATTCATGAGGCAAAGCACTCTCAAACATTCTCCTAGCTTGTTGCTCATAGTCCCAATTCAACTTTCCCACTCTCAATCCAATTTTTTACTATCTTTATTCAGATTCTGAAGAAGTTCTGGAACTTTTGCAATGTATGATTACGCTTGTTGGGTTTTTCACTTGAAACTGGAATTGGAACAAAAAAAATGGATGGATAGAGCTTCATTTTCGAAATAACACTCTGTGAATGAGATTTGATTGGATTTATTCAGAAAACAGCAATTTAGTTATCATCGATTGAAACATTTGTTTTATACATCATCCCATCAAACGAAACCTTAAAGTAAAAGAGGTGCAGCATGGGGGTACGCATATGATCCGTAGGTGGAGTAAGCCAGAGGAGCTCTGTAGGCCAAAGGACTTGCAACATATCCAGAAGCATATGTCAGTGGAGCAGAGTAGGCAATAGGGGTAGAGGCTACAAGTGGGGAGGCTACTATGCTAGGCTTTGGAGCAGCTACTGCGATGGCCAAAATGGCGGCGAATACAATGGCGAACTGAAAAAAAAATCAAGCAGAAAATATAACTTCTGCACAATTGAGTTTATTTGGAAAGGAGCGTCGATCAGAAAAGTACACAGATATCCAAAGAATGATCACATAAATGATCATACAAAATTAGTTGTAATAACAATAGATTTTATAACGTCCACTTTCCGAGATGTATTCACATAGATCAAGCTTGTTATTTTAAAAAATCTAAAATATTTAGACATTGTGATGTCAGAAATATCGCCTGTCTAACTATATTGTTCAGTGATTTGTATTGGTGCTATAGTATATTCTGAGAGAAAAATTTATAGAAATGCAGTTGCTTCAGGCATTTTATCATCAACTTCCATCTTAGTGTTGCAGTTACTTTTCAAAAATTAACCTCTTCTAAATAGAAAATAATCATCTAACTGAATCGTTCACACGATCAACAAAAGCAGAAGCTCATATCAAAAGGTTTATTGTTATCGAACTCTATTGAGAATGTTGGATAGAAATAATATTTACACAAGCCTCAAACATTGTTGTTTTCATCTGTTTTAGATCCTGCAAGATGCTCTGTAAATGTGGTCAATAATTATCACAAAGTCAGATTAGAAGTTTCAGGACACATTTTTCAGGAATAGTAGTATGAGAGCAACATTAGGGAAATTTTTATAATAACATGAATATCCAAAACTGGTTGAGCAGAATTCCTCATTTTTAAATTCAATAACACGTATTTAACGACTACCTTGATAAATATTTTCGTTTTGAAACTGCATTCTCAATATATTCTTTGCATTCAGGAATGATATCAATACATTTTTTTTGGCAAATTTGAAAAGTGAATAATATTAATTTACTTTTTCGAATGGGTTATGATTCTATTTTCAAGAAAAAAACATCAATGAAAAATTATACTCACGAATCTGAACATTTTGATTGGATATTTGTCTGTGTACAACAAATGATACATTTTCAGAAATATACTCAATATTTATAGCAGAATCAGGAGGTGGGGTTGAATGTTTATGCATCAGCGTGTGTAGGAACGAATGTTGAAAAAATGGAATCTTGTGAAAGCCGTCCAAAAACCTTGGCTGTGCAACGTAATGAATTGAATATCAAACAAGATTTGTGTGGCCCATTTCATTGTTTCGATATTTCAATGATGAATTCATGGTATGCATTTGTGGACGTTATTGATATTATGTTAATTTCAAATTACTGAAAGTCTTTCAACGAGTTGTAGTCACAAATGTTGGTCTGAATGATGAGGAATTATTTCATTTTTGATTTAAGCACTGGTTTTGAATATCCAATTTAAAATACGCACTATTATTGATATTGTTCATACGACCAATAAAAGCAGAAGCTCATATCAAAAAGTTTATTGTTATTGAACCGTATCAAGAATGTTGGATAGAAATAATATTTACACAATCCTTAAACATTGTTGTTTTGGTCTGTTGATATTGATATTATCGAATAACTCAATATTGAGCTATTCTCAGAAAAATATATGAATAGATAAGTTTTCATCTCTAATATAATATATTATACTAATAGCGAATTTTAGAGAAAAACGGTCTTTTGAAGGTTTAATATGCAAAGGATATGAAGTAAGTTTCGAGATGGTTATGTTTCAAAATTATGAAATATTTTCGAAAGAAAAATTTAATTGCTATTGATATCCACATATTGAATATGAATGCTGAAGCTTCTTGACCTACGGATATTCATTAATTATTGTATATATGACTTGCATATTGTCTGTTGGAATTCCATTTCCTTTTCGATTCCTTCATTCAAATATAATCTACAACAAATACAATGAAAACAAACTCTAGAAAAAAATAATACTGGGATTAGCTCTAATCATAAAATACTGAAAATACTCGCAGTTGTCTCTATGACAGAACGAACGTATTTATTAAGTTTCAGCCTTTACTTTCAGCAGTTTCATCAGTAGTTATTGCAAATACTTTTGAAACAAGCACAAATTATGCGGAGTGACAGTAAGTCTCGTAAACTTCACATTTTGAGTAATTTCAGAAAAAAAAAAAAAACTAAATTGGTCAACTCTGGTGATCATAGAAGATTACACAGATACTCATTGCTTAACCCATTTTTTTAATATTGAAAACTTTCATATAACAACTACACTATGAAAAAACGCTCTATATTGTTGCACGATAATATATTATACTGCATCTCAAATCCATCTGAATCTGTCTAAATATATTACTGTGTTTAGAATTGCTATATTCAGGATGTCAAAATTTCGTCTAATAACATTATCATTCAGAAAACAGATATTCAACAAAAGATTAGGGATGTTATTGACTCGATAAGACATGATCCCGCAAAACTCCTATCATAATCATCCTCTTGGAGCTCTTGAGCTTGAGCTTGAGCTGCTTCATTCAGTACTCTAGGGTTATTTTTTTTTATTTGTCACTGAACTAGTTTCGTGAAACTCATAAATCAAGCACATACCGGTGACTTACATTACAATTTGGATGTCTTTCGTTGAAAAGATATGCCACCTTTCGTGCGCACTTTCCAACTTCTCCAAAAATTATAATCATTTCAATTCAGTGTTGAATAATGTAAACCATTTTCACAACTGTACAATACTACCACTTCGTGCAATTTTGCCTGAAACTTTTTACAGCAGGAGTAGCAAAAAAGGAAGACTATCTATACACTTTCTGCGATGAGAATTGGAAATTTAGCATTTACTAAACACAACTTTACCACCATCTGTCCTGCTTGAGAATGAAATGGACCACTTACAAGGCGAACACGAAAATAACACAAAAAATAAACAGCTATGATCCGGACGCAGGCAATCGCGTGAGGGCAGACATCGTTGACGGTTGTGTTAGTTTTGAGAATTTCTTTATATGTAACATAACTCGACTCTCGAAGCTATTCATTACTTAGTGTATTTTCAAAGTTAAAATATGAATTACTAGCTGTTGCCCGCTCTTATATTAACGTACAGCCGAAGCTACTGAACCAAGAATCTTGGATGGAACCAACAACTTCGGTTTCACAACCGCGAAAGAATATGTACAAAACCCGATCTCACTATGAATGATATACCAAGTCTGCCACCCATTAGCTAGATTATAAAGTACATTGCTTTTGATATCAGTAATTCATTTGCAGTACTACTCACACATCTTCAATTGCTGATAGTTCATTACGAGCAAGTGGAGAGTCATATGCGTTATGGTGTTCGTTTCTGGGGATAGGCAACCACGTTCCAGAAAGTTTTTTTTGCACAAAAAAATAATCAGCTCCATCAGGAATGTGCCTAGTAATGAGAGCTGTAAAAGTTTTCCCATCATTATATATTTCTGAATTATGTCTTCATATTTTCAAGAATAGAAATAGTAATATTTCATCGATATACAGGGTGTTTTCCTATGAACCGTAGTTGCTTGGTTTCTGAGATACAGGGCGTTGAAGTTAAAAAAAAAGGTTATTATAGAATATCATGAATATCTTTACACTGATTTGGTCGAAAGTTGCTACAGTTATTTGAAGTACTGAGACTTTCATTTAACCCAAGCTAGATTGAAATTATTAGGTCCAGTTGCTTCTCAGTGGGCAAAAAACGCCACTGACTTTTTTTGAAATGTTTGTATTGTTTTAGATTAGGCAACTAAAAATGCCACTTTTTCGTCGCTAGTGTTCTATGATGATAATACTAATTATTATAATAATAATAATAACCCTAATGCACTTGCTATCAGCATGTCCAGCATATGTGGTCTCGGCCTATATCCATCGGTGTTGCCCCCCGCTCCGGAGGATATTGAATCCGTTGTGGGAAACGAGAAGTGCCGNCGTTTGACATAAATCCATGTTGTTGCAGAGATATGATATTACGAACTGAGGAATGTACGCGATTGTAGATGACAATTTCGAGAAGTTTCGCGAATTTCGATAGGATTGAGATAGGACGATAATTCCGAATATCCATAATTCACGAAAATTATTATTTTTAACTGCAAGATTGAAAAGTGTCAGTGAGGAATAGACCATATCAAGTTTCGTTTCCGAAAAAAAAAAATCACTTCTTAAAACCATCCATAGACAACAGAATAAAAACCAAAATTAAATAATTTCGACCTCAGAGTAATTGAGCAGAATATTCACATCGAGTACGGGATTTTTATAAATAAGAGCCTTCAGATTACCCCGTAACTGAAAATTTAGAGGGATTGTGAGGTCCTGAACATCCAATTCTGCTAGGATAGGTAATATCTAGATGCTGACAAGCAAGAACAATAAAATGAGCTGGTGGCCCGTTGTCCATAAACATGTTGTCTCTGACAAGTACCGACACTCCTAACAAACTGGGATTTACCTATTATTCTTCCTGCCAAAAAAATTGGTCAATAACCACACAATTTCCACATTTTTGGATAATAACTTTCTCCAAAAATGTGGCAATTTTCGACGGCCCAAAAATGGTCAATTTCGTACTAGCATCCCGCAACTTTGGTGAAAAAATATTATTGTGTGCCATCGTATGAATCAATCACCAGCAAAACATTAGTCTTGGGTGATGATCCCGAGACAGTAGAGCTTGGATCCGCTGGATGTAGGTTTTTTTACAACTTTCCATACGGTTTTTGTTCTGACTCCAACTGCAGTACAATATTCCTGGCACTATTTGAAGGATTTTTTTCTATCGCATCATGTATAGCTTCTTCTAGTTCAGACTTTGTTATAGTTTCTGATCTTTCACCACTTGCATTTTTATTAAAATTCCCAGTTTCACATAATCTTGTATAATCTTAATACGTTAGCACATGAAATTACTCTATCAAGATATCTGTCCTGGTAAATTCTCAGTGTTTCTTCTGCATTTCCATCTGCTAATCAATAAATGACGTGCGTGTCATCCATTTCAGCATTAGTAAAATCATTAATGATGGAATTACTGCTGATTGACAACTCTAACTTCCACTGATAGGACAACACTATCACTGTCAGCTGGTCTCCGAAGCAGGTTTTCTCCCTCAGAAGGAAAAGTGGAAAACAAGAAAGTTCACTTTTTATCAAAATAGTGATAAATTTTTGTGATTGATGGGTTCAAAAATTACATCGTCAGCTCTATTCAGTGAATGAAGATGTAGTTCTTGGATTATATGTGAATAAATCGTTATGACTCACTTATGTGCTTAGGAATTATCTCATCTTTTCATCTGTGATCTACGTTTGATCATAAGCTTTGATATTTTCAATTCAGATGTACTCAAAATTATGTTTAGGCGACAACTCAGTACCATTAGAAACTATCGATGGCTGAATAAAAGTATTGGAATAATAGTTAATTAGAATTTATTTGCCAAACAGTAATTTTGTAAATATCATTTCCAGATTATTTTCGAATGTTCTATCATTTGTTATATTATCAGTAGTGAATGGAATATCCGGCGGGGTAAGCATATGATCCGTATGCGGAGTAGGCCAAAGGAGCTGCTGCGTATGGTGAGTATCCAGCGGCGTAGGTCAGGGGAGCGCGGTAAGCAGTGTAAGCAAGAGGAGCAGATGCTACCAATGGTGAGGCGACGAGGCCAGGTTTGGGAGCTGCTACTGCAAGGGCCACGATGGCTGCGAAGACGATAGCGAACTGTAAGAAAAAACATCGTTTAGAATATCATAAAATCTAGATGAACCAAAGTACGGATAAATTGCAATGACTTTGCAGTGGATTTCAAAAATTTTTAGAATATTATATATCCCTCTAAAATTCATCTTTCTAAAATTATCATCAATTAGATTTCACTCCGTACTGGTAGGTACTATTTCATGTACTAATGGTTTTCTTTTTTGATAATGAATTATTCAAATTCATGAAAATAACTTCTTGGGAGAAGGGTTTTGAGAATTTAGAATATTCAGCTTGCCGTTCATTTTTACTGGTTGTCTTCTGATAACAGGTATGAAGGCACTTTTTCTGGATTTTCACA